CTTTGGGACACAGGACAAGAAGGAGGCCCAAAAGTGATAACGACCACCTACAATTTTCCAGTGCCCATTACATTTCCCATGTTCTTCACCATGCGAGTTTACATGATTTTCCATTCTTGGGTTAGTATCCCTATATACCCTTTAACGGGCCTAGGATTTCCGTTTCATATTCTATGTTATTGTCCATTGGACTACTATTGGGTTGGTATCCCTCTAAAACCCTATAGAAACCCTAAGCCCTGAACCCTAAACATTAGTTCTGTATTCTATTCCCCTATACACTCCTCTACAGAACTGTTATACTTCGATATAACTCCTACATAATCCCTACATAAACCCTCTGCAACCCCCATATACGCCCCTATACCCTAAACCCCTCAGTCGCTGAAGCGGGTGGATGGGCCGCTGAGCTTGGATGAGCTGGACGAGGAAGGCATCGTGCAGGTGGGGGCAGAGCAAACAAGGATTTAGGGTTTAAGGCTTGTGTTTTAGGGTTTAGGCTTCCGGGGTTAGGGTTTGAATCTTGGTTAACAAGGGCTGGGCTTTCTGCAAGTCGCCTTTCGAGGTTATAGCGACATGCAGGGGGGCTCCTGAGAGGATATGGAGACATGATATATTTGGGAATTGGTGACGTTGTTTTCGAACCTTGTTTTTCGTTTGTACTGTCTTTTTTTTGGGTGGGGCTGGGGGCCCGGAATGACGCCTCACAAGAGCGCGATTCTGCGGCGAAGACTGTGAGGACTGATGAAAAATCATGAAAATGAAAGAAAATCAGGCAAACATCATGAAACTAGTATAAAAATATGAAAAGGATATAACAATGATGAAAATGATAGAAAATGCTAGAAAATAGGAAAATTATAGACGAAATGATGTCAAACTGTGAAAAATTCATGAAAACGATAGCAAAAGATGAAAATGATGAACTTAATGAAGAATGATGACAAACGACAGGCCATTACAGAAAAAAAACTATAGAAAAATGACGCAAAATTCAGGAACAATAGACATTGTAAAAAGTAATCAAAAACTATGAAAATGATGCGAAATGACGCAACATAATGATGAGAACTGATGTACACTGATGACAAATGATGAAACATAATGAGCCAAAAGTCCTGAAGATTATGAAAAGTATGGAAACTTGAAAAACTAAAATGATGAAAAAGTATGAGGATGAAAATGACGGGAAAATGATGAACACCATAAAAAAAAGTATGAGGCCTGATGTTGAAAATGATAGGAAATTATGAAAACCATGAGAACATGAAGCATGGATGGCATGAAAGGCGGGGGGGTTTGGGGGGGGGGGCGCAGGCCCACCCCCCTTGCCCCCGGTTTGCAAACCGGGCGAGCTTTGGTGGCCTCACCAAAAATTGGGCCGGGGGGGGCGGGGTCGGGATCATGGAAAGTATGGAGGGTTTAAAACAATGACACTGGCAGGCATGGATTGGATGGCCATGACAGAGGCGGGGGGGTTGCGGGGGGCCCAGCGCCCACCCCCATTTGCGAACAACATGATTTGTATAACCCTCCCTTACTGATCATCAACCACTACTACTTACGATTACTACTGCTACAACTACAGAAAGCAAAACCGCAGAGCCAGAAATCGAACAAGCCAGAAAGCTAAGAAGCCAAAAACCCAAGCAGCCAACAGAAATAAGGTGCAAGTCAAGTAAGTGATGAAAATAATGAAAATGATGAACAAAACAATTTATACTAAATTTGTATAAACTTGAGGACAGTGATCTAATAACGATGAAAATGATATGAAAACGATGAAAACCATAGAAGATGAAGAAATGTTAGGAAAATAATAGAAAATGTGGGAAGGACAAAATTCGAACACGCTCCAGGCCAGGGCAACCGCAAAAAGAAAAAGTCTCAAAAAACAATGAAAACAAGGCTCTAAACCACAGGCCCTCCTTTGGGAATCTGGGAGTAGAGTAGCAGGTAAGGTCACCAGCAGCCTCGATTAAGTTACGGGGATTCAGCCATAAACCTGAAAGCTTAAATGAAGTCGTAGCTTCTGGTCTCTTTTCCATTCCCCTCTACAATCCCTATGTAGCGCCTGTACTATTTCAGGCCTCAAGGGTTTGGGCGTACAAGGCTTGTAAGTTGGAGGGTCTTGGCGTCAGGCTCCTGGACTTAAATTCTTGAGAGTTTACGTTTGTAAGGCTCAGGCTTCTAGCACCCTAAATCCTAAACCCCAAATCGAAGATCCTAAACCCTACGTCCTAAACCATAACAAAAACCTAAATCCTCAACCCTATACGTCCTAAACCAAAAAAACCCTAGTCCACGAAGGGCTTTGGCTTCACCAGCTCGCTTCGCCTTTTGGGGGAAGGGGGGGGGAGGGGGGCTTAGAGCTTCTGGGATGGAGGGTTGCTCTGCTCAGAAGATATGACGGTCCCCCCATATAGGTAGGACCTTATATAGGGGTTATAACATGGGAGTTTGTATGAGGATAACATCTTGTAACGCCCCTGCAGGCTGTACAGGCATCCTGGTACGGAATTTGTTCACTCTTTTGGCCATCTTGGGGACAAGTAGTCGGATGAGCTACCAGGTTCCTTGTGTACTCACGATGAAGTTCTGAATGCAGCCCAGAAAGCCTCTGCCTTATCCACCGGAGGGAGGGGTGCTAGCTTGTTTTTTGTTGTTTGTCCCTGCCAGGCGCATGTAGCTGGGCAGGACATTCGAGTCGGACTCCCGGATTTGTTCGCGGTATCCATAATGTAGGGATCCTAGATTCCTCGTATTTCTATGGAAAAGCGTATCTCAAATGCACCAAATCAGGCCCGGTAGAGGTTTGTTGTGACATACGACAGCAAGAGTGCCCAACGGCACGTTGAGTGAGTTATAGGCAATGGATACGAGATTCTGAAATTTGTACAACATGTCGTTCGTACCGGTGCGTTTCATTTAAGTAGCATCCCAAGAAGCCCCGCAATTCCAAACATGAGGGCCATGCAGGAGGCATCTAGCGCTTCCACTCCCAACCCTAGAACAATTAGATAAGCTTGCCGATACTGAAACAGCTAAGAGTACTTCTTCCACAAAGGTGTGCATTTGATACTTCAAGATCTTTCTATCCTTGACGCACAGTAGTTCCGGTTTTCTTTTCGATGCTATCATATACCTACTTGACAACAAAACGAAAACTCCTCAGGGATGGTGTACGGGTATGTGCTGATTTGGGGTACAGATGGGGTTTCGGGCTTAGCGACTTCAAATGCATACCAAGTCAGCCCAAACTTACCCTGAAGCCTCCTCATCCACTATTCCCAGAATACGAACAACAAGTCTAGCGATGACATCGCGTGGGCTTTCATGTTCTGCTTGAATGGCAATGACAGCTCTGCATTGGAAGAGGTCAACATCACCTCAAGAATGACACAGCATCCAATCAAGCTCACCGTAAACCCTGATGCCTAAATCAGAAGTCCCGGACCACAAGATCATAGGGCCGTGAGAAGACGTAGATTCGGAAGCCACAACCAGCGGCATTACCCAAAGCTAAGGCACCATTTATTCCCACTAAGCAGGTCACAAAAACATTGTCCTTGCTTAAAAGAGGACCTGGAACTTGCACACGCGAAGCCCCCTGTGGTCAAGAGTCAAGACCGCTACTACTCCAAGACATATCGAGTTTTCCATGCAGAGTTTTTCGGACAGGTCCTGTTTGAACTTGCAGATACAGCAGTATGATGGAGCCCCCTGAAAAAAGTGGCCGGCCCAGGAGAGGCACCCCAACAGATAGGAACCTACATGAACGTAGGAAGCCAATAATATAAACACAGGCTTTGGTTTTAAACCTTACTGGTACTGTTCTTGCTGATCTTTTTCTTATCGTTAGTATTTTCTCACGTACTACTCTTATTATTACTACTATTCGTAGCAAGCATAGAAAGCACCTCACTCCCAGCCATGGAGAAGTGTGTGCGGGTTCTTGGCCAAGCGGCTTTGCTTTGGCAGTCAGCCAACCCAGCAGCCCGTATTGGACTCTTGGATGCCAAACGGGAGAGCTTTTTTTCGGGTTTAAGGTCTGAGCTGGGAGGTTTTCAAGATCATCGGATTATCTGGGTGCCCCTTGCTTGCAGGTTCAGGGAATGTATGCCCCACCCTGTCCTGATAGTTAACCCAATTCCCAGCCCCCTACTTCCTCAATAGAGCTTTGACTGGGTTGTGCGTTTTCAGCTATTATTAGGTTAGCATTTCCCTGCGGCTCCAAGTACAGGAAGCCTACGGGACGTTTTGCCAAACTCCCAACTAAAGACAGATGTGGAGGAGAACTCTCCATTTCTAGCCAGATTCCAACCAATCGTCCGTTACTGTACGATTACTATGACCAATTGTGCTCACGTGTTGTATACAGCCTGCCGGAGAAGATTGCATGCTTAGGTTCAGATTTTGTTTTGCAGCTAGGGCTCACATGTTCTTGGTCTTTCTTTCACGGAGGTCCAATAGGTGTCAGAGGATTCGCAGAACTGTCAGATAGCCACTCCATGAGAGACTGCCACTGATGTTCCGTTGTGCCATGCTACCGTATCATGCGCATGTCTCCTCAGGAAAAATGCTCACGCGTTTTGGCGGGATCGGGTGCAGAATCACACTTGGTAGGATGGCGGAGTGCAGGAGATGCACAGTGGCGTTCCGGTTTGAAAGCAAACGGAGAAATCGCATGACAAGAGTTGCTGGTCTTCTAGAAGCAGCGCGCCAACTCCGAATCAGCACTGCCGAAGCCTACCATGAAGGCCCGCGAAACATGAGACTTGAGCTCCTTCGTGCGAGACATGTTCATGACAAAGAGGCAGCAACCTTGCTTAAGCTATCAGAATGCATCTTGAGCCAGTGAGAGTGAAGGCAGCCGGATCGAGCCATTGGCAGAATACATCGAACTGATACTACCAGAGGGAACTCTGAACTCAGCACCTTATGTGCTCAGGCTGAACCTGAATCCCCTGCCTAGCCCCTGGCGACGGAATAGCGCCTAGGAGTTGTGGTGCTCCACCCTCATCCACACATGGGTGGCGACATGATGAACCCCACCGTCGAGGCAAAGTTGGGGTTTTGCGGGCTTCAGTCAAGTGGTGGTCGAATTCACGGAAGATCAGGGCACGCCATGTTCAGCGTAACAAGTTCCGCATCTGGGCTTTCACAGGAAAGTCGGGTCGCCCTATCCCCACACAATGCAACCTTGCCGACCACGAGCTTGCCCTTCTGAAGACATGGGTCCCCTTCTGCTAACCACCTGTTCTAGGCATTCGTACAATGCAGCATTTTGAAGCACGCATCTGAGAGGCTGGAGTAGAGTGGGTCTGATTGCGGCAACAGCTGCCGCACGTGAAAGCTAATGCCGTTTAGGTAGTAGTACTCTCACATCACGGTTGAAGCCTTACAGAGGTTTGAAGCGTCACCAGGAGCAAGATGCTGCGCAAGGTTCCTACCACGTGAGCATGAGCCTCTGGGCAGGTCCTATCATCAAGATTCCACTGTGCTCGCTGGCCCCTAGGTTCCGAGATCCTAGATGTGGGACTAGACTAGAGTGGCGCAGCCTCAAAAGGGCTACCAACACTACCGTTCCCGGAACTCCGATTCCACATTAGCTATTTTGCTGTTTACGCGTGGACCCTTTACTGGAACATGGAAGATAGCTGCTCGAAATCCTTGGCTAACATCAGCCGTATGCCCCATAAGTTAAAGTCTAAGACGCTAAACTTTCCCACAGGCGGCTCTTCGAAACCTCCCCTACGTAAGCCTAAGCCCAAAACTCCCGAAACCTCCAACCACCGGCACCTTCCACAGGCAGTTCTCCAGGGCCTCTGGCGAGAACCCACAGTGGCAGCAACCCTACGGTTCAACTTTGGCCACGACCTCTCTCAAAGCCTCAACGCGCGATGGCTCAGAAAAGCATATCAGCTAAACTCTTTACAGGGGGTTCTATAGGCGATTATATAGCGGAGTTTTCTAGGGGTTATTAAGGGGGATACTACGAGGTTAGACTATGGCTCATATGGGTACTGTTTATTGCCGGGATACGAGAGTCCCAAATATAGTCGAAGATTGTGGTCTGCTTGGTGGTAAAAATTTGAAAGAAGAAAGAAGAATTCCGCCCTCCAAGGATCACCGCCCTCACGCCCTACATAATAGATACTCTCAGCGGACTACGGCTGCGTACTAGGGATATATTTAGTATTCGGGGGTGCGTGGTTTCATGACCTTGCGAGAGGATTCGTCTTGCGTGTCTCAACCCGGAAAAATGCACTGTCGATCTGACTTGTGGCTCAGTGTCGATGTTCTAAGGGGCATAGGGTCCCATGTTCGTACGCCGGCCCACCCACCAAATCGCACCTCCTGCAGCTTGCATTTGGGGATGGTCAGGGGCATGCTGTTCAGAAACGAAGTCTCTCCAAAGAGGCCCAGGATACTGAATGTATTCCACGGTAGTTTTACGGTAGTCAAATCGGGTCGTGAGCTGTTATTGGGTTATTATTAGTGCTCTTGGGTCATCATTTCTGTTTTGGGGTTATTCTTACTACCAACCTCCTCTTCTTGCAATCGTACTGTCAATTTGCCGTATTGTAAGGTTGCGTAGGCCGAAATTTTGGGTCACTAGCTCCATGTTCTGGAGTAGGAGGCCATGAGCATGCAGAAAACACTTCATATGAGTTACTGGCCTCATGCAGTGCAAGCTTTCAAGTTGGAGCGTGAAGCGGATCCAAAGCGTAAGCTTTCAAGACCCAAAGCTGTTAGCGAATCCCGGGACAAGCAGCGCGCAAGGATATCCTCACCCCTGCCTTTGGGCAGATTTGGAGTTCCTCACATGTGTGTTTATCTTCTCCAAATGTCAAGATGTCTCTGCGGAAGCTGATCCAAACTGGGCCGAATATTTCTCTAAGACTCTAAGAATGCAACAGCTCCTCATGGAGATTCATGAGAGTTTGTACGGGGATAGTGGATGGAGGGATTTGCAAGCGAAGGTCTTCTTCCTTTAGTCACCCCTGGGTCGAAAAGTACATGTCAAAGGAGGCACAAGCTGCTGTGGCCTTCCTTCAAAAAGAGACCCGTGTCTGCAATTGATTTGGGTCCTTTTGAGGGGTGGGGGGGGTTCCAATTACAGATGGGGTGGTCAGCCATTAAGAGCCCTGCCTTCTCTGGGAGCATGACGATTGATCTTTTCTTCATTTTTGCCACTGGAGAGACGGCAAGATAGACGGAATTCCTGCTAACCCGCGCCCAAAATCCTTGCAGCGTTCGTGGTCACGACGGTTGAGGGTTGAGGATTTGGGCTGGTTGAGGATGAGTTGGGGACCTGGCCAGTTTTGTGAGTCCAAGAGGCCTGAAGTCCCTTCAGGATGCAATTTGTAAAAAAAAGGAAGGGTCCATATGAGCCATAGTCTAAACTCCTAGTATCCCCCTAAATAACCCCTATAGTAGTCCCCTATATAATCCCCTATATAACCCCCTTGAAGGAGTTTAGACTATAGCTCATTTGCTTTCGGTCAAGCAGGTCATCCCTCCGAACAAATATTTACATGTTGCGTAAGGTCCCTACAGAGATGTCGCCAACAGAAGGGTAGATTGATCATGATTTTCACTTTGGACACTGCTCCCACCCAGTAACAGTTGGATAACAATCATAGCATCTATGTATATATTATAGCCCTGAATATGCCCCCAATGATTGGCTGTTACCGGGTGGGGACGGTACGCAACCTAAACCCTGGATCCGTAAAGATCATCTTAGGCATATGCCCCTACTTATCCTCGTAAATATGCATTGCCTTTACTCCAGGTAGGCCAAAAGCTTTTGAAACGCAGGACCGGAATACCAAGCTGGGCTGGCGTTGGCTACTCCTATGGCGCAGCCATCCTGTCAGAAATGCTGTTGCTCGGCGTAGTTACGGGGGATATGCAAGGCCCATGTAATGATCACATGCGGGTCATGTAGGGAGAATTGTTGGGGTTCACGCAGGATTTTACTGACAAAGCCTAAAATCTGGGATGCATTTCCAGTCTCATCTTTTGTATTTACCAGAGGAGGGCAGAAGTGGACAGCAGGTAAAACGTGGGCTGAAGGTCTATAATTACTGTGGAGCAATGTCATCATGGAAATGTTTCATTGAGGTTTCAGGCGATGTTGAGTTGACACGTTGAGCGGTTCAAGTCGTTTTTGGTGAAATCATGCTGTAGCAAATCCCAAGTGCAAACCCCTCAACTAGCTTTTTCATGTCAAGTAACGCTTTACAAATGTCAACGGGGCCACCAAGCCCGTCACATCTGCAACCACACCTTCACATTGTCACATACTTTTCAGAGTGAATAACCTCAGGCCGCAGAGCCTTCAAATCTTAAGCTTTCCATGATCCATATGACCCGTTTATACACAACAATCCTCGTAATGCAGGGCCTGATTCAATCTTGGGGACCGTCCACCCAAAAAATTAAGGGGGAAGGCTCCCTTTGGTTCTACGAGCTCCGGGAATGGCTTGCGGAGGATGATCTGGTTTCTGTTTGGGCCCCCTAAAAAACGAAACGAACGCATGGAAGAGGGCCTGGAACTCTTTCAGCGGACGCGAAAAAGTGTTAAATGGCGCCTCGTCATCAACGTGGGTCCGAAAGTGAATCCCCCCCAGGAGTTCCAAGAATCTTGAGTGACCAACATACGGAAAACCCAAGCTATAACCAGGCAATGTCCCATGGTCCCATTATGCTTACCTTGATGTCCTTCGTCATATGCTCACCTCGCATACACCCTAAGGCTCAAGAGTGCCTTGGAGCCTCCTGCCTCTGGTGCAGTGCTGTTGGCACCCCCTCTGTCGATGCTGCCGGGCTTTAGCCTGGCTTCAACCAGGACGACCAGGGCTTCGGAGCAAAAGTTTAGTATAGTGGTACTATCTACAGAATTGCAAGAGTAGCAGTAGCAATAGCAACAATACTAGTGCGAGTAATAGTCGCAGTAAAAAGGAACACTACCAGTAGTAGTAATGGGTTATAAACGTGACCTAGGTACCCCAGTAGTACCCTGTTCCCCCTTTTATGTTGGGGTCTGCTTATGAAAGCTGAACATTAGGAAAAAGGGTACCCTTATGGTTAAGGGGTTGTCGGGGAACCTATATAAACCCTATATACTTCTTCTAGAGCCTGTAAATTCCCCATATAATCCCCTGAACCCATGGTTAAGGCTTCAGGTCCGGCAGAGACGGAGGTTTTGGGTCTAGGCTTAAATGTTGGGGGGAAAGGTTCAGTGCAAGGCATAGCCGGTAATCAGTGCACGGGTTTTTAGTCAATGAATTGTTTCGCGGCCGTGCAGAAAACAAATTAGTGTGAGGTTCATGTTAATATTCCCCCCGTTCCCAGCCGACCAATCTCGGAACAAAGGTCCGAGAATTTGGCCGTCGTAATGAAAACTTTGGGGCCTGGGCTCTGTCAGATGGGTCACCATGGGTATGGCAGCTAGTAGTAACAGGAGGAGGAACGGTAAGAGTAGGAGTTGGGGAAGGAGGAGCAGAAGAGGATTTTACTTTGATTTCAATTCCAAACCATTGCCAACAAGGATTTTTTCGGATCGTTGCGCCGGCGAATTTTATTATCACCGCCCCTTTATAAAGACAACCTCCTGAGTCTTCAAAAATATAGATAGGCCGAACCCAGGAAATCATCGGTTCGCAACTAAAATCACATCAAGACAACCTCAATACCACCCCCTATATAGAGATGAACCTTTATTAGGACGATTGGAATGACGCAGCCCCAAAGAATCAGACCCCAGCATAGTGATATGATCGCTGCAGGGTCCTAACCAAAAAACTCGACGCCAGCTTGGTGCCTGGATCAGAAACAATCTCCTCCGGCCCACCATGGCAGATGGGGGTTTCTCAAAATTAGAGGTACCTTTTTGGGGGATCTCTTTAGAGTATTTTGGTGTCTATATTGGGGATCCCCCGGTTTACAGAAACTACCGAATCCTGGTGGAATCAAATGCGCGCACATGGCGTGGAGGCCTGAGAGTTCAGTGATGATATGCCGACATGCCCTTGCGAGGCTTTCCAAAAAGGACCCCAAACCCTAGACCCTAAACGGATTCGACTCTAGTACTCCTAAATCCAACTTGTCGGATCATGTCATGCCTGCATCACCTTGCAAATATTCATTCCGTGAACTTTTTAATTACAGCCCTGAATGCTTGTGCCCTAGCGCTTCCCTCTTGTGCAATTCTCATGACCTCGCCTGACCTGAACCCAAGTCTTGATTAGACTGACAAATAAATCCTAGTTTTCTTTACAAGTTGGCCAGCGCGACGTGAGCGAGGAACTTGGACATTGCTGCAACGCCATAACTGTCCCCCAATATCGCTAGAACAGTAATACAGTACGCTTCGTCAAAAGACCTGTATCTGACGCTGGGGAAGCCCTTGGTTGCGAGACCGCAGCTCGCCGGCGGCCTGGCTTTGGCCCTGATTGCCGGAAATCGCAGTGTGGGCTGCACTGGGAGATGATGGGGTTATATTGGGAATAATGGAAAAGAAAATGGAAACTACAGGGACTATAGGGATTGTATAGGGGTTATATGGGATTATATGGGACATATTAGGGTTATAAAGGGATAATGAAAAAGAAAA